TCAGGATAGCATGGGATGGGGTGGCCACCGTTACTTCTGCACGGCTGCAGGCAGAGAGCTGCTTTCAGAGCTGGGCACCTGGCCAACAGCCAGCCCTCTGCAGCCACCCAGCTCAGAAGACCGTGTAGAAGTAACAGAGACAACCACACAATCCCCGTGTGACTCTCTGCAACTCTTTTTGGCAGGACCCCCAGTTGGGGAGAGGCTGGTCTCCCTCGTGCAGTCTGTATCTAGGGGGAAAAGCACACGCAGTCCAGGTTTCACCGCCTAGGGCCCATTTTTCATGGCTGTGAATGTGTTAGGGCCCTAGTGACAAGGAAGGAAACATGGTTTTACTTTGCATTTTACCTGTGACTTGCCACAGCGTTGTACAGGGCATGTCTGCCCATCCCGCTCGCGAGCGCCATCTGGTGGCTACCCCAAAGAACTCTTGGTGTTTGTTCGAAAAAGCAGTGGCCACCTTTTTAAAGACACTGTTGAAACAGGCACGTTTCCTGATTTAGTACTGACGTGAGAAGCCCGTTGTGGTGGGGGTGGCCTGCGAAGATCAATACGACCTGGCTGTTTCAGTGTTGGAGGTTGGACAGCCTCTGTCTCCTCCGTTGGTCTGCACGTGGCGCTGTCTTACAGGGCCTTGTAAAGCACAGTCCCTGCAGGCTGTTCGCAGAAATGTTCCATGGGAAACTGAAAAGCTCGTTAGTCTCTTGTATGTTTCTTGCAGCCACGCCCTGCGTTTGCTTGTTTCTAGACACATGCAGGGCCTATCTGCCTAGGGTCCTTATTTCTGCATTTCCTCTGCTGGCTGCTCCCCAGCTGAGTCAGAATGAGACTGTGGATAAATGCCCATTTTGGGAAGACTCATGATTTTCCAGCGAGGAATATAGGTCTCCAGTGTCTCTCTGGCTTCCCTTGGTTTTGGGTTGTTTTCATGAAGCTTCTGGGCCATCCCTGAGCTCAGTTCACAAAGCCGAAGGGAGATATTTCAAGGTGGTGGTGTCCACTCCCAGCCCCCCCCCCCC